ACTCTTCCACCACCGGCCACCACGATGTGTCAAGGACCTTTGGCCCAACTCCCTGCTCTTTCTAGTTCTCTTGCTGGTGCCACTACGTCCTCTGTCCTCTTGTCACAGTCAGCTCTTCCTCTCCCTACCCATTATCAGCCGCCGATGTATGTTCCACAGTACCGACCGGATCGCCTCCCGCAGTTTGACGGCAGGGCCTCCGAGCTTCAAGGATGGATCTCTATTGCTGAGGAGCAGCTTTGCTACCATGGTGTCGCCATGGAACTGTGGCCCGTCGAGATGTCCTCTCGTTTCACAAGTCGTGCAGTCTCCACCCGCCGCGACTTCCTCGCCCTTCGCTCACAACGCGGCGTATATGAGGGCATGTCTTATCTTGAGTTTTGCGACTTCCTTCAACAGTACTTTTCTCGCCCTGCGCCAACCCGCGACCGGATTACCCATGTGGCTGAGATCAGATGGCTTGGTGGCGACAATGCCTTAGAGTCATACATCACGGCATTCCACCGTGTACACGCCCAGATTCCCGTCACCGCCATATCCGAGGACACCATGATCCAGCGATTCCGCGTAGGCCTACCCCAGCCATTCCAATTGCAGATGATGGCGTATTCGATCCCTACCTTACCGGAGGCTTTCAACATTGCTCAGGCCATCCAACTCACTTGTGCTCCACTCGTCGGCCCCTCGCCTCAGTCCGTCGTTGCCCATTTCGCTACTACTGCATCACCTCGCCCCTCCCAGCCTCGACAGTCCTCCACATATCGTCGTGGCCCATGTAGAGGCTCTGGACGATTCCTCTCTCGTCGCTTGCATGCGCTGCTTCGTGATCCGCCGAGCATTGATGATGGCACTGCCTCAGATGATTCTGCGAGTGACCCAGATCAGGGACCGACCCTCAGTCCCCCGCGGAGGACGATGCCTCTTCCCATGACGACCGTTTTGTCCGGGCCCTTTCCGCCCTCCTCCGACGTCAGCCCTCATCCTCCAGGACTCGCTCTACGGTCCCTCAACTACCCCTGCCAGCGGGCTTTGTGTTCCCTCGCAGCCGCTTGACCATCGCTGAGAGTGAGGACCTTCGTACACGAGGCATCTGCACCCGCTGCCACCTCGTCGACCATACCTCCTCTACGTGCCCATACGCAGACGCCCTCCAGAGTCACTTCGCACAACAGGCTCGCCCTCAGGCTGTTCCCCCCGTCTCGACCTCCAGCGCAGCACCCACGTAGCCACGATGTCTCATTCCCTTGACCCTCCTACGGTAGTAGGCATACCCGTTCGCGACTCTACCTTTGCGCCGCTTGCTACTCTTCCCGATGACTCTATCCCGGCTTTATCTTTGGCTGACCCTGCCAACACTGGTATACCTTCTCCTTCCTCGCCTAGCGTCTCTCGTGACCCCCTCCTCCACGTCCTCCTACCAGGCGTGCTCTTTGCATGGCCCGGTGCAGTGCTCCCCTTATTGCAGTCGAGGATATCATTGACTTCCTGGACCTCGAGTGTGTTAAGGTCTATCAGGAACGTCTCCACCTTAAAGAGCGCACCCTGTCCGCGATGTCTCAACGCCTACACAATCCCGATCGTACCTTACCGATTATTCCAGTGCGGCTCGTGACCTCTACGAGAGTGTATTGCGCACTATGGGACTCTGGCTCTACTGGCGACTTCATTCATCCTCGCGTAGTTAAGGAGGCATCTCTCTACACGTCCCCCTACCCTTCCACCGTCACCGTCACGCTTGGTGACAATCAGGCCAAATCCTTTGTCGACTGTGTGGTGCCTGATCTTCCATTCTCCTTCCCCTTGCGGATGCCCCACAACCTTCGCAAGGCCCCTCAGTTCCATGACCAGTGGACCTTCGACGTCATGGAAACCCTATACGATCTTGTTCTCGGCACTGCCTACTCACATCAGTTCGCCCATGCCGGCCCCGATTGGACCCACAACGATCTCGTCCTCGACGCCAAGGATGGGAAGCAATACCGTATTCCGTTGTTGGGCAAATCGGACTCTTCACTTCCCTCCACTGTTAATGCCACCATTTGTACACCTACCCAGTTCCACCACTTCCATCGTCAGCTTGATGTAGAACTTTATGTTGTCGACATCACGGATCTCCTTACCTGCAACTCCATGCATCACGACGTTGAGTTGGTCGAGCTTGATCCACCACCTCCCGAGCCCCCCGACCCCCCTGATTCCTCAACTTCCTTACCCTCCTCTACCCCTACTAGCCCATCTCACTTCCCCGCTTCCCTTACCACGGATACACCCTCAGTCCCCACCTCCACACAAACTCCCTCCACCTCTGCTTCAGACGCCACCGTTGCTAAGGAATTTGACACCCTTCTTTCTTCCTTGTCGCCTAGCGTTGGTGCCCTCCTTCACGAGTATCGCGATGTTTTCCCACCATCTGTCTCCTACTGCAGTATTCCTCCCATGCGCGATATCGAGCACCACATCCAGCTCGAGCCCAACTATCGCATTCAGAATCGCGCCCCATATCGCCTTTCGGTTCCCGAAGCCCAGGAACTTAAGCGCCAACTTGAGGAGCTGCTTGGTCAGGGCTTCATTAAACCGAGTACTTCCCCATGGAGTGCCCCGGTCGTCTTCGATCGCAAGAAGGACGACACCCTTCGTCTCTGTATTGACTACCGCGGTCTCAACCACTACACGGTCAAAAACAACTATCCCATGCGTCGCGCGGATGATCTGTTTGACCGCCTCGCCGGCCACCATTTCTTCACGAAGATCGATCTTCGTAGCGGATATCACCAGATCCTTGTAGCCGAGGAGGACCAGACCAAGACCGCTTTTCGTTCTCGTTTCGGGCACTATGAGTTTACCGTCATGCCTTCCGGTCTCCGTAATGCCCCCGCCACTTTCCAGACGGCTATGAACACGACGTTCCAAGACCTCCTTGAGGATTCTGTTCTAGTCTACATAGACGACATCCTGATCTACAGTCATACCTTAGAGGAGCATCTGATCCACCTTTGCACTGTCCTGCAACGATTACGCGACCACGGGTTCTATGCAAAGCTTTCCAAATGCAGCTTTGCTAAACCCAAAGTGGACTTCCTCGGGCATCAGGTATCCGAGCACGGCCTCCACATGGACGACTCGAAGATCCAGGGCATCGTCGGTTGGCCTACCCCTACATCTCTCCCCGCCCTGCGTAGTTTTCTTGGTTTGACCAACTACTATGGTCCCTTTCTCGAAAACTATGCACAATATTCTTCCCAGCTTACCCCTCTGACCCGCGGACGTCTCCCTTTTCATTGGACCCCGGCTCATGAGGATGCCTTCCGCTCTCTCAAGCGACTTGTCACGTCAGCTCCTGTCTTACACTTACCCGACTACTCGCGTCCATTCATCGTCACCACCGATGCGTCCGACTTCGTTATTGGAGTTGCTCTCTCCTAGATCTACCCAGCCCCTTCTACTTCTCCCGATTCCACAGAGTCCCGCCTCGCTCGCATCCCTCGCTTCCCTCCTCCACCTCCAGCGACTGCGGCTCATCTTGCACCCATCCAGCCCACCCCCTCAGTGGCCCCACCCCCTTATATTCCTGACGTTGCTGATGACAGTACCGTCGAGTCTCGCGATGGAGAGTGTCTGGTTGCTTATCTATCTCGACAGCTACTTCTCGCTGAGCGTAACTATACTGCCGACGAGCGCGAGGTCCTTGCGCTGGTTTACGCTGTTAAGAAGTGGCGTCATCACTTACACGGTCACACTTTCACCGTTTTGACGGACAACTTTGTCCTTGCCGCCTTCCAGCCGAAGCCCAAGCTCACTTCTCGCCAGGCTCGTTGGTGGCGTGATCTCTCAGTATTTCTTTACCATCAAGAAGATTTTCGGCGAAAGCAATCGCGTCGCAGATGCCTTATCCCGCTGCCCCGACCTTCAGTGTGAGGATCGTCAGCTATTTGCTATTTCAGCTCCCACCATCCACCCCGCCTTTCTGGATGAGTACTGTTGCGCATACACCCAGTGCCCTGAGTTTCAGTCCATCTACGCCGACCTACAAGTTGGCAAGTCCGTCCCTAACTTCTAGCTCGATCCCTCTGGACTCCTATACTGGCTTGGTCGCCAAGGTACCCGTACTCCTCGCTTATGTGTGCCCTCTACTGGCCAGCGCCGCGTTCGGGCTGTCGCTGAGTGTCACGACCAGTGCGCCGCCGGTCATCTCGGTGTCTTCAAGACACTTGACCGCCTCTACCGCCATTACTACGGGGAGCATCGTTGTCCCTTCACTAAGGAGTACGTCGGCACCTGCAGGATCTGCCAGGAGGCCAACATTTCCAACCACCCCCCCTACGATCTTCTTCATCCCTTACCCATTCCCACTCAGTGTTGGACTTTTGTCTCCATGGACTTCATCGGTCCTCTTCGTCCCCCTACCCCACGAGGCCACGACGCCATCTTCGTCTTTGTCTGCCGGTTGACTAAGCATGCTCACTTCCTCCCTTGCAAGTATGCTAGTTCAGCCAAAGACATCGCCTCCCTATACTTCAACCGTATTGCCATTCATCACGGTCTTCCCACTAGCATCATCTCTGATCGCGATCCCCGCTTTACTTCTCATTTCTGGCGTGAACTCCATGAGATCTATGGCTCCGAGCTTCGCCTCTCCTCCTCCTATCACCCCCAGTCAGATGGACAGACTGAGGTCACCAACAAAACTCTTGGGAGTATCCTCAAGAAGTTTGTTGAGAATGACTCTGATTGGGATCTCCATCTTGCTCACGCAAAGATTGCTTATAACCATGTTATTTCACCTGCGACTGGCATGTCTCCCTACTACTGTGACTTGGGATACCATCCTCGTGTCCCATCTGACCTTCTCCGTCCATCTCAGATCCATCCCGACACCAAATGCCCTGCCCTCGATGACTAGGTAAAGGAGATGGATGCGCTTCTTGAGCAGGAAAGATAGCCTTGGGTGTATCGCTGATGAAGTGATGGAAAGAATTGAATATGAGTCATGGCGGCGTAGACTTTCTCCGGGGGCTTGTGGTCGGGTCGTTTAGAGAGGGCATCCGCAACACGGTTGCTTTTGTCGGGGGTATGGCAAATGGTGAATGTGAACTGGGCAAGGAAGTCTAGCCAGCGGGCTTGGCGTGGAGTGATATCTTTCTTGGAGAGGATGGAGGAGACGATGGTGTTGTCAGTGCGGATGGTGAAGTATTGTCCGTCGAGGTACGGGCACTAGACTGTGAGGGCGTAAATCACGATGAGGAGTTCCTTCTCGTTGGAGGGGTTATTCATCTTCGCGGGAAGGAGTTTCTTGCTTGCGAAGGCGATGGGGTATTCGCCAGGTGGAGCCTCGGGGTGAGTGGGCGAGTCCTTGATGGAGGGGGTCTCGGCGGTGTCGCGGGGGAAATGTTGGGACAGTACGGCTCCGATGGCGAAGTCGGAGGAGTCAGTGGGGACATAGAAATGGCGAGTGGGGTCGGCGATCTTGAGGACAGGGGCTGTGGTGATGGTTTGCTTGAGTAAGTCGAAAGCGTGTTGGCGGCGATCGTTCCAATGGAAGGGCTCGTCCTTGCGGGTGAGTTCGTGGAGAGGGTAAGAGATCTCGGAAAAGTTGCGAATGAACGGGCGGTAATAGTTGGCAAGGTCGGGGAAGGAACAGAGTTGGAGGAGGGTCTTGGGTGGGGGGTACTCGATGAGGGCTGTGACCTTCGAGGGGTCCATACGGATGCCTTCAGCGGAGACAATATGGCCGAGGTATTCGACGCTCGAAGCGACAAACGTACATTTGCTGAGCTTGGCGTAAAATTTTTGCTCTCGGAGGATCGAGAAGACTTGGCTGAGGTGCTGAAGGTGGGACTCGAAGGTGGGGTTGAAGACAAGGATGTCATCAAGGTAGATGGCGACACAGACTTCGAGGAGGTTGCGGAAGATGTGGTTCATGGTAGATTGGAAGGTAGAGGGGGCATTGGTGAGTCCGATTGGCATCACGAGGAACTCGTAGTGCCCGAACCGAGAGCGGAAGGCGGTCTTGTGGGTGTCCTTTTCGCGGATACGGATCTGGTGGAAGCCACTGCGAAGGTCGATCTTGGTAAAGTACTTGGCTCCACGGAGATGATCAAGGAGCTCGGAAATCCAAGGTAGGGGGTACTTGTTCTTGATCATGATCCGGTTCGAGGCGCGGTAGTCTGTGCACATGCGGAGTTCCGAAGTTCCACCTTTCTTGACGAAAAGGCAGCTGGTTCCGAAGGGGGATGAACTTGGCTTAATGAACCCTTTTTCAAGGAGTTCACCGAGTTGCCGYTTCATTTCTTCGGYTTCGGGGAAAGAGAGTTGGTATGGAGGGCGGCAAGGTGGAGAATGTCCGGGTTCCAAATCGATGGTATGCGATACGCCACGATCCGGAGGTAGTCCGGYGGGTAAGGACTCGGGAAAGACGTCCCTGAACTCGTCGAGGATTGAGGTGATGGCGGGGTTGGAGGGGGGGCCTTGATCGGGTTTGTCCGTCGGGAGTAAGTCCTAGGAACTTTCACGATCGAGGACAAGACAGTAGTAGGCGGAGTCGAGGTTAAGGCGAGCCATGTGGAGGAATTGGTGTGGGGTGACAAAGCCTTGGGGGTCTGATATGGGAGATAGGGGATGTCGATGGTTGTGTCGGGGGGGTTGGTGAGGCGAAGGAAGTTGGGGTGGAATGCGTATGGCATGTAGCAGTCCAGCCACGTGGTTCCTAAGACGATGTCGCACATTAAGTGCATTACATCAAACGAGACCTGACTGCGGAGGGTTCCGACGGTCATGGTGGTCTCGGGAACCGTGCAGTCTACTACGACGGCGGTGTCTTTGTCCCCTAGGCGAATCGTCATCGGGGAGTCATAACCAGTAGAGGTAAGACCGGCTTTGTGGACACACGCGTCGGTGATGAAGTTACCGGTGGCTCCAATGTCGAGGAGGGCACGAAACTTAGTTGTAGACGCACCAAGGGTGGCAGCGATGAATTTGAGGTGGAAACGAGATGAGTTGGCGATGGAGATGATGGTGTTGAGGCGGCGTTGTTCGTTGCCTAAGCGGACAAGCCGATCGTGCCGGGCTTGTTCCTCAACAACATCGGAGAAGGTGATAGTGGATGGATTTGGAAGAAGGGTAAAGGAGCATGAGGCAGTGGGAGGCGTTTGCGACGCCTGGGAGTCGTCCGGTGGAGGGGGCATCGCCGGAGAGGGGGGTGGCGGACAAATTGTCGATGCCAGATGGGCCATCGGTGGGACGGAGGACGTCACCAATGGGTGGGCCGACAGACGCGATGTAGATGTCGGGCCAATGTCCTGGGGACGGTGTTCATGATGAGGAGGGGCCCGCGCTTGCCGAGGGCGGTGATGCGGAGGTTGCAGGTCGAGTGGAGGTGGACTGGCGGGTGAATCGTGCAGCGTTGGGGCAGTTGGTTTGTTGGTGCCCCAATCGGCTACAACGGAAGCAACCCCCTTTTGCTTGGAGGTAGGTGCGCTCCTCGGAGGTAAGTTTCTTGAGGCGGGAGGGCGGGGTAGATGAGGGTGGTCGGGAGTTGTGATCTTTGCGCTCCATTCTCATGAATTGGACGACATCGGGTTCCTCAGAAGTGAGGCGCAACCCCCTTTTGCTTGGAGGTAGGTGCGCTCCTCGGAGGTAAGTTTCTTGAGGCGGGAGGGTGGGGTAGATGAGGGTGGTCGGGAGTTGTGATCTTTGCGCTCCATTCTCATGAATTGGACGACATCGGGTTCCTCGGAAGTGAGGGATGAAGAGTCGAGTGAATTGGAAGATGTGTCGGGGTCAGGTGTGGTGAACTCGTCCGAGGAAGTGATGGAGGTTGTCTTCGGGGGTGATGTGGTGGAAAAAGCGGGTGCGGGAGGTGCCGGGCGGGGGCTGGTGGTGGGGGTGGAGGAGTCGATCGTGGTGAAGGATGCGAGAGAGGAGGTCAGCAAGGGGCATGTCGGGTTTGTGGGTGAGGGCGGTTGCAAGGTCTTTGTGGCATACTCGTTTGATGCGGGAGATGAACGCAAAGTCGGGAATGACGGTGTGGGGGAGGTGGTGGCGGAGGGAGCGGACGTATTGGACGAAGCGGTCCGTGGGACCGGTCTGGCGGAGGTGGCAGAATTGTTCAAGGTAGTCGTCAATGGTTTTCTGGGGCGGAAGGTGGCAGTGAGAAGGTTGGCCCATTGGAGGAAGGTGTGACGTGGTCCTCCGGAGGCTCGACGGTTGCTAACTTCAGTCATCCACCATTTGGCTGCATTGCCGAGGAGGCGGGAGGTGGCAATGGGGAGCCAGTGGGCAAGGGGCATGTGGTGGAGGTGAAAAGAGTTTTGAAGCTGGGTTAGGAAGAGGAAAACGTCCTCGTGGGGGAGGCCGGAGAAGGACATGATTTCGCCAGATCGGAAGGAACGGGGGATTCCCCCGTCGCGGTGAACGATCTGCGCGAGGGTGTTGAAGCTGAGGTTATCGGGGGTGGTGTTGTAGTAGGCGTGGTCGATTTGGTTGTTGTCCTCAAGGAGGTAGTTGGGGGGGAGTTGTGGCATTGCGGGGTAAATCCCGGAGGTGACTTGGGAATAGGTGGGACAGATGGTGGGGATGGTGGAGGTGGTCGTGATGGGTTGGGAGAGGGTTTGGGAGTGCGGGGGGTAAAGAGGCGGTGTGCTGGATGCTCCGGATGAGGGAGGAGGTGGAGGGAACGGAAGGGTGGTGGAGGTTGAAGGGTTGGTGGATGTGGTGGTAGAGGTGGTAGGAGTGGAGGAGGTGGGGGGGGGGGGTGTTGCTGGAGGCGGCTGTGGAGGAGGGAGTGGCTTGCGCTATGGAGGACGGAGTGGTTTGCGCTGTGGAGGACGGAGTGGTTTGCGTTGTGGAGGACGGAGTGGCTTGCGCTGTGGAGGACGGAGTGGTTTGCGCTGTGAGGAGGGAGTGATTTGCGCGGTGGTGACGACCGTGATGGAGGGATGGTCCCTTCGAATCGTGGTGACGCGGTCGCATATGGACGACATCTTGGCCTTTATGTCGTCGAGAGAGGCGGTGACGGAGGTTCGAAGGGTGTTGAGTGCGTGGAGGATGACGGAGAGGTCGGGGATGGCAGTGTTTGCTGGTGGTTGTTCGCCTGCGAGGTTGCGGGCGATGCTATCGACTGAGTCGGTGCGAATGTCAGACATGTTGATGGAGGATGCGGCCATGTCGTGGGAAGAGGGGGTGGAGGACATGGCCTGAACGGGTGTGGAGGATGCAGCATAAGTGGTGGCTGCGACAGTAGCAGCGGCGGCGGCAGCACGTTGGAAGTTCTTGGTTTGGCGTGGTGACATGTGGAGGTGGGGGGGGGGGCAATCCCTTATTTATTGATCAATAAATAAAGATAATTGCCAAGGTTTTCCAAAGAAGAAGAAAAAAAAAGAATTTCGAATTTACAAAATGTCAAAAAAGAATTCAATAAATTTCAAGGAGGATTTTTTTTTATTTTTAGTTTTTTGAAAAAGGAAAGGATAAAAGGAATTTGGGGATTTATGTGGAGGCAGCTTGTAATTTAATTCAGCAAAAATGCCCGCAATAAATTAACTCGAGAAAATTAAAATTTAAGATGAAGATTTTACAAAAAAAGGAATGAAATTAATTGAATTTCAAAATTAAGGATTTTCGAAATAATTAATTTGAAAAAAAAAATCGAAATTTAAAATAGAAATGACTTTTAGAAAATATTGAAATGAATTAAATATTTATTTGAATGCAAATTTAAATTGTTAACATTTAATGAAAGGGTTTAATATCAATGTAAAAGGGCCTTTACCCGAAATAGGCCTCAGGCCTTGTAAAAGAAAAACAGCACGGGCCTTGTAAAAGTAAAGCATTGTGAAAAGGTATCTCGCCAGGGCTCAGAAACGTGAAAGCAGGTCAAAGGTCAAGTTCTCTGTCAACAAGCGCATCTAAATCTAAGGCAAAGGGCATTGTCAAAAGACTTACCTGTTCACCAGGAGATGTGTATGTCATGTCTGTCCGGGTAAGAGTGTGTCTGTACGTGCAGGCAGTGTATCTGTTCGTGCAAAGGAAAGTGTCTGTTCAAGCAGTAACTGTGTCTGTTCGTTTAGAGTTGTGCCTGTCCAAACGTAAAGTCCATAGGCACAGTCCCAGTTCTGGTATAAGTCAAGGGGTCAGTCCAGATCCAGACTTTGAAGTCCGAATCCAGGCCGAAAGGCCTCAGCAGCAGTTGGATTTCATTGGGACTGTACTGGGACACATGCTTTGCAGGGTATGGGACAAAAGGAAGACTGAACTGAGCCAATGCAGACCCAGCGAGGAATGACCAGCACTATAAAGGGAGCTGCCTGCCTCATTCCTCGCCAGATCTCCACTGGCTTCAATGCGTGGAAGTGCTGTTGCGCTTGTGCGTTAGTCAGGAGGAGCTGCGCTGGAGGTAGAAGATGCGCTGAATGGAGGAAGAAGTCTGTGTGCTGGAAGTGATGCAGCCATAGCTGCCCAGCGAGTTAGCATTAGTAGTAGTGGGTTAGTAGGTAGCTATGAGTAGTATTCAGGGTAGATCCTCATGAGTGAAGAGTGTGTATGCATCGTAGGAGGAAGGGACTGGCTGAGAGTGTTCATTCAAGGTTCGACTATGGAAGATACTTACCTGAGTTGGATGTGACCTGCAGAGGTGGCGCTGATGAGTAGTGACCACATTGATGACTTGGAGACTATCTGCAGGAGTCGCGCTGATTCACTGGAAGTCATATTGATGAGTTGACAAGAGATTGGTGTTGCGCTGATGAGCACTGGACTCAGGGGAACTTTGAAACACTTTGTATTCATATTTCTGATAATATAAGTTGTGAAACTCGGTCCTCTTCTCATCTACCTTTGTCTATGACTTGAGACTATTGATCGTGGTGTGTGAGGATGATGCATGACATGTACACACTTGCGTGAAAGGGTCTTCAGGACCCATGCAAATGTAATTTAAGGGATTTTAATCAATTTGAAACGAATTTAAAGCGACTGTAATTAATTTCAATGAATTTTATTAAATGAATTAAATTCTAATACTGATTTGATTGAAGTTAACTTATTTTAGTGCAAATTAACGGATTTAGATTGGATTTTAAGTTAATTTAAGTAATTGCCGAGAAATTTGAAAATGAAATTCGAAAAAAAGGAGATGTTAAAAAATAAAATAAAAAAAAAGGAGATTAATTGAGTTAATGTTTGATAATAAGGTGAAGATGCGAAACTCTAATCTAATTTGAAATACGAAACATTAATTATTTACTTTCAAAAAGGAAAATGTAAATTTTCAAAAATAAAGAAGTTCAAGTAATTTTAATGTTCAAAATGGAAGAATAAAGTATTGTGAAGTTTTGTCGATCAATAGGGTTATCGTACGGAGGGGGGGAAGGGCGAGCAGAAACAAGGTTGGGTAGTGGGGGCGGGGGGTGAGATCAGCCGCGTGGGGGGAGA